AAAGGCAATAAAACGGAGCCCTGTGGTACACCATATTCTCTGTCGATCTATAGTTTGATTTTTCGCCGTCCTCAGATGACGAGGACTTACAAGATAAGAATGGACAAAAACTAAAATTGGTTTGTATTAAGTATGCTACTGTCGTCAAAGGACTCCAAACGTTTATCACGAATAACTTTGCAATAATAGAGATAGGTCTATAATTATCTATGCATGATACATGTCCGCATTTGGTAAGGAAATACTTTATTTATTTTGAATGCATCTGGAAATATATCTTTAGAAAAACATAAATTAAAAAGGAGTGTCAACCGCTCGACCAGTACCTCAAGTGATAGCTTTAAAAATTCCCTATTTAGGTCATAGACATCCACATACGTCGAATTTTTCCTCGTCTTAGCAACCTCAGCTACTTCATTGGGGGTGACAGATGTAAAAGGAAGTGTAGTGGCGGGGTTTCGTAGCAATAGTATGCTATAATACTTTTGTTGCATTATAAATGGTTATTACTGTTTGTAATTGTAATTTCTTCAACTTGATTTTTTGGCAATGAAGTAGTCTTACATCAAGAATGAAACGATAACAGTCTCACAAAATTTTATTGAGAAGTAATGAGAAAAAATTTATAATGTGTTAGGCGACCCCGCAGCTAAATAAACTCGTGTTTACGTCTAGGCATAGACAAAATGAGATTATCGATGTCTAGTTGTGGCGACTCATTCCAAGCAATTCAATCTTCGTGGATTAGCTATGATAAAGTCAGTGGCGGATGGTGCAAAGTGGGTAGTCTCATCCCCATGATATCCCACACACATTCGATGGGATTTAAATCCGGTGAACGGGGTGGGCACGGCAAAACACTAACGCCTGCTTCTTGAAGAAAATCAGTAGTATTTCAAGCTATACGGGGACGTGCGTTGCCTTGCTGAAAAACGACGTGTGGACGGCCCTCTAGATACGGCAGTAAAGTTATTTGTAGGACATCATCAACATAACGCGCAGCATACATATTGCCTTGAACAAAGAGAAGGCGTGATCAGCTACCATAGGCAATATCCCTCCAAACCATTACTCCAACAGTCATGTGTACATGCCTCTTAACAGCAAATATAATATCACGCCATTTTCCACTGCGGCGTCTTACCCTTCTACGACCATCGTCCGTACCTAGGCAGAATTGCAATTCGTCAATGAAGATGACATTGTCAAGCTGCTTCCCAATGTTGCCGTTCTCTGCGCCAGTTCAAACGTTGATGACAGTGGTTCGCAGTCAGAGGAAGCACTAGCCATGGACGGTAAGTCCAAAGGCTCGCATGCGGCGATAGAGTGTACGCATAGTAACAGGTCTACCTTCTTCTCCAAACCTTTGGTCAGCGATTTGATACGTAGTAGCAAAACGGTCTCGAAGGGCTAGTTGTCTGAAGCGCCGATCTTGATGCTCTGTGGTATGCCTCGGTGGGCCAGTCGGCCTTCTTCGTGTTCCTCTAGCTTCTTCTATCCAGACACGACACATACGCATTACCGTCATTTCAGTACAATTAACATGGCGGCCAATATCGCGATAGGACAAACCAGCATCTCAATAGACAATAATTCCAGCCCTGCCAAAGTCGCTAACATGGCAATACTCTGGACGTCTTCAAACTCGAGGCATTTTGTTATGCTTAAAACCAGTAAAGAAACGGCAATAACTAAAAATATTTATACGACACAGCTCTCAGAAACTGCTTTCTTCATAAAACTAAGAGATAACGTTTTAACAAAGGTAAACAAAAACTTGCTTTGGATATAAATATAGTCATGTTGCCAAAAAAATAATGTCACTGAGTATAATTAGGATATGCGTTTTTAAATTGGTCGTAGTTTATTTTTTAGTGCATTTTAAGTTTTGCTAATTGACTAATTGGAGAATCTTCTATTTCTGGTAGTAGACGTATTATCAGTTCAAGTACCAGATTGAAACGCTATCCGCTGGCCGAATGGGCCGGGGCCGGGGGAAATGGGAATCGCAGATACTAATCTCAAAAATTTCCAAATTTGTTAGAGTGTTGTCGATGCATATTGATGAGACTGAAGTCAAATAATTCAATAAGAAATTCATTAAACCAGTAAATTGTTTGAAAAATATGTTTATATGTCCTCATTACATAGTGAACGATAATGCAGTGATGACTGCCATTCTGGGTTCCAGGTTCTTAATCTCACAAAACTCGGCATGCATTTCTGCACAGAAATTATCTAACGCCGTGCGCTGCGAGGGTTCGAATCACGTCCCAAGAAATTTTTTCTCTTGGCTATGGATGTTGTGATTGTCCGTAGGTGGTAGACGGTCTCTGACTGTCGTACGCGGAGGTACCACCCGGCGGATCTCGTAGTCGGGGCCAGAATGTGTACATGCTGCATGCACATGCGTTCGCTCGCTAGAGACCGTGTAGCGTCCCCCATTTTCCCCTGTCTCCCCCTATAGCCCAACGGTACCCCATGGGTGTTTAGGCCTTAGGCCTTCATGGTAGCTGGAGTATAAAGAACGAGATATAGCTCTTAACAAACATACACACACCACCAAAGGTAGCGAGGTTGTTTGCAGATAAATTGATTAATTTGAGAGCACCTTCCCTAAACCAATGTTCGTTTAAACCTATAATATCGTCATTAGAGTTCTCTATATAAGTAGATAAACCGTTAACTTTATTAGTTAAACATTGAATACTGACAATTTTATCCAACCCAGTACAGGCATTCTCGCTGCAATCGTCAGGATTAACTTAATCTGCTTCTAGTTGAGCGAAAAAAAAAACAAATTTAGTGACGGCTATTTTTCCCCAAGCGTCGGTTGGAAGTTAAGTATTAAGTCCTGTTACTGCAACAGTCGCCAACCTGTCAGTGACCGTGTTCAAGGTCCCGTCACACAAATTTCGTTCATGCTGCTACGCTGTATAGACGGATTTCACACGGTCGGATCCCAGACCCAATCACAGTATTGTTCTTTTTCATAAGGTGGTACCGTTCCACACGGGTATTATGTTACAAACCTATAAAACGTCAAAAAAAAAAACATAAAATGTCATCTTGCAGTTTAGGTAGTGTTTAGGGTGCAAACAGTCATTCCTCGTTTACTCACTAGGATCGTTGTGAGAGTATATCTATGGAGGAATGGCTCAACTATACCACTACACGCTTTGTTGGTTGCATATGTTTTGTGAAGCCGAGTAGTCTATAGCTTTCATATCTGAGAAGAAAGTTGGTTCAATAGCAAGATCGCATCTGGATGATTGTGTGTATTGGTCTGCATGTGTATAAAATCACTGATATTTGCTGTGTGAGAAAGCCATTCTGAATATGCTGCTAATGAGTAGTTAGTTAGCTTCACCCGACGAGTTATTTATATTGCCCTTTCTGAAGACGTTAAAAAGTTATACATTAGGATTTTTTACGTTTTTGGTGACTTCAAAAACTTTTAGGAAGAATTACGTACATCCCGCGTTGTTGGAATACTATTACCATAACAGATATATGACCTGTAGGACGTTTAGGCCTAGCAAGTATAACTACAAAACGACTTCACAAACGTGTCATCAGCTAGTGCTAAGTTAACATCTTGTAGAAAAACCTACATAATATCATAAAAAACCAATATAATGCCAAAAAAAATCGACATAATGTCACTTTTCAGGATACGTAATACCTGTGCCGATGTAAATGCATAGTTTCTTCCTCCTTTTTCCAAACCAAAAATGCATGTTTATCATGGTTTCGAAGTTTTCTTATACATCTTCAGACATTACCATAGCTCATGCTGATTGGACCACTTATGACCGCTTGACCTCATGTATGAAAGTGAATTTTGATGTAAAATCTCGAGCTGGATATGAATTTGCTGTTAAAAATAGTAATTGCGTTTTGAATTTAAAACGTTGACCTCCAAATTACCCTCGAGGTCAGTGTCTAGGTTATATCTCAGGTTATAGACAAATTGCTTTTTTTGATACCCTGAAACTTTTTTCAGAACCTTTTTTCCAAAAATATGTGGTAGCCAAGCTTTCGGTGTTTTTAATAGACGTATGTGCTGTAAGTACTCAACTTCAGAATTTTAAGTCCATATTTTTATCCGCTGCTGAGATACAAACTTTTGCCGAGTGAGACATTGTCTATAATCTAGGCCAGATTTATTCGCACAGAGAATCTAATTGAACTAGACCATAATGATAAAATGCCACGATAGGAATTCACCACACAGTCGTATAGAACTGGTTTATCTTGCATAAAAAATATGTTTCATAAAATTCCTGGTATAAACAATGATTTGCGCAGAAGGTTGATATACCGATGCCATACAAGGATTTTCGTGTAAGAGAGGGAAGAGCCAATCAAAGTGAAGTCAATAACATAGGTTATGTATGTAACACGATATTTAAGAAAGTCATACCACAATATACAGCGAGTAGAGAACTCTGTATCAACTGTAATATGGATATCAACTTAAAAGAGGCCAGCAAATAATCCGTTTACTAGTTCATCTTCTGGTCCAGTATTTACTTCAATCCCTTCTCAACATACAAAGTTTTCGGGGCAACAAGAAGATTTAGAGAGTGATTTTTTCAAAACATATCGAATTTCACTTCACAAACTTCAATACAACAGTGCGTATTAAGGGCTGTAATCTGTGTTCATCAAACAGTTAATTAACAGCTTACAGTCAGGTATTTTGGAAAATGTTAAAAGACTTCATTATACGTCTTTTTACATCGTTTAGAGAAACAATTCAGTACAAGTTGAACCAGTGTGGAACCCTTAAATTAATTACACGGGCTAATAGTGCATGGACGGAAGATTGTGGGTTAATTAGCATTTGTTTTTAACTTCACTGGACATTTATCACAGTTGTATGTTTTTAAATCGAACCTCCTTAGTCAATATTGTAACTTCATGTATTAGGGGAGACTAGGGAGGCTTGAGATAAGGGAGAAATGAGACACTACATTTATTTCCTAAAATCGGGTATGCAGAGACATCTGTTGGTTACTGGTTACTAACTTCAGTCAAATCTCTCACCGCTTAGCCAGCGAACCGGCGAGAATAGCAATAGTAGAACATTGTTGTTAGTGCAGGTGCAAAATGGCTGCCAAAACTAGATTTTAATTTTGTGATATTGTAGATTGCAGCAAGTTAAAGTGAAAATTTGAGTTGATTGTTTAGGCAGTGTGACCTCTGGTATGTTATGAATTATTTATACACGGTGGCGCATCGAAAACGAAACAGACGCATTTACTGGCAGCTCAGTTTTTTTTTGGAAAAACGCTCAGACCCGTCGATTTTGTTTTAGAGGGGGACACAACTTTGGCAAAAAATCACGTTAACACGTGGGGGTGACACCAACCCTAAAACCTTAAATGGAAAGGGGGGTCGAATGATACCTTATTTTAAAGGTCTTCAATTCCCTTTATAATGATATAAAATTAATGTACTTCAGTTCAGTAGTTTTGAAGATTTATTGATTTAAAGCTTAAATAAAACTAATACATCATCATTAGTGGAGATCAATACATTTGGCAGCAAAGTAATTTAAAAATGAAGAATGAACTGACCCGTTAGGCAAGTAAATGTTGAAAATGGCCACCATGACTCTCCATGCAATAATAAAGATTTTGCTCAAAACGTTGCCGCACATTTTGCAATATTTGAGGAGTAATTTGAAGGCACTCATTCACAATTCTTTGTCGCAGGTCTTCTAATGATGTTGGCTGAGTAGCATAGATTTTTTTTTAAATGACCCCACATAAAGAAATCCAAAGTGATAAATCTGGCGATCTTGGGGGCCATTCAATGGCACCTCTTCTACCAATCCATCGATCTGGAAACGTCTGATCTAAATATTGTCGAACACGTAATGCGTAATGTGGTGGGCACCATCCTGTTGGAACATCAGCCTATTCGCAATGTACCGCCGATCATTCTGATTTTCAATTATGGCTGTTAATGCAGGATCTATGGCGTCTTCCAGTAATTCCAAATACATTTCACCGGTCAAATTTCCAGGTAAGAAAAAAGGACCAACTAAATGATCGCCAAAAATACCAGCCCAAACATTTAATTTTTGTGGCTGCTGTGTATGAACCTCATGATAAATTCTGGGATTAGAATCGACCAATATCGGCAGTTATGACGATTTACTACGCCATTTAAGAAAAGGACATTCGTCGGAAAAGCAAGTGTTGAATAGAAAATGTTCATCGTTTATAATTCGTTCACTCATATCTTCACAAAATTGTAATCGCCGATCAAAATCGTCTTCATTAAGTTCTTGTACCAGGTGAATTTTATACGGATGAAAACTATGGGCCTTTAGAATCCGTTGGACAGTACGTCGACTAACACCAAACAGTCTCCAATTTGCGGGTACTTAACGTAGGATCTACATAAACTTGCCCTAAAACCCCCCTATTGCTTCGTTCTTATGGGATTTTCAATGTTGCGTTTTTGGCGACTACCCAGTTTCCCGAAATTTAGCTACAGTTCTAGAACATATTTTCGATGCACGTTACTGTTCTCATGTCGCTCATTAAATATTCTGCTGTTCTATTAGCGCACTGATTATTTCCGAAAAATATTTCGATAATTTCAACTCTTTCTGCTGTGGAATATACCATGGTTAATTTATGTAATAAAGCGTTACAAGTTATTTTAGCAACAAAGTTTGGTCAAATCAATCGCAAACTATGTACTAAATTCCTATTTAAAATAAGTACGAGATATTTCCTTATCTTCAAGAAATAACTTTTTTGCCACAAAAAACGCTCCAATAGCTATTTTCAACAACAAAATGATAAACAAACCATGGGCGTAGTGAAGAAAGCATTTACTTATTAAGTAAATTCTTTTAGTCAAATTTCTTCTGAAAGTAGTACAAACTAATCTGATGTACCTATTAAAGTCTACTTTAAGCTTTAAAAATAAATCTTCAAAACTACTGAACTGGAAGACCTTTAAAATAAGGTATCACTCGTTCCCCCTTTCCATTTAAGATTTTAGGGTTGGTGTCACCCCCCCCGGGGGCTGCACATGTTAACGTGATTTTTTTGCCAAACTTGTGTCCCCCTTGAAAACAAAATCGACGGGTCTAAGCGTTTTTCCACAAAAAACTGAGCTGCCAAATGCGTCTGTTTCGTTTTCGATGCGTGATCCTGTATAGTTATCCCATGAAATAGAAGTTTAACAAAAAATTTCAAGTTAGATTATTTTATGAAATGCTATTATAGGGAGACATGAGACAGTTGTCCCTATGTAGCGTTTTATAAAATTATCTAATCTAAAATTCCGGTTAAACATCTGATTCACTGGATTACTAGTATTTTTAAACAATAAAAAATGCTAATCTGGTTGAGAAATAATTTTTGTCCACAATTTTAGAACATGCAGCATTTATATTGAAAACCGGGGTGCACGAAGAATTTCGAACCATGCAAATATTCAAAAGGATGCCTCAATGTCAAAAGCCCACGTGCAAGATCGCGATTTAAACACTAAACAAAATGCTCGGAAGATAAAGAAGTTGTTCCGTTGAAGCATGACGATCTTTTGTCAATAAAAACAAACAAAAATCTCTACAGAAACCTGCAACTTCACCACAGTCTTCTTCAAGTGATGAAGAGGAACAAAGCGACTTGGGCGGAAGCAGCAAAGATATTTCAGATGTTGAAAGCTACGAAGAGAAGTGATTGAGATTAAAGCTCTTGAGGATATCGAAACCCTCAAGAAAGATGATGAATACGAGGTAAAATTTTTACGTTGTCGTGGAACCACCTGGAAATTTGTTTATTCACCAGTGGAAGATATTTCTTCAGTTCGAGAACAAGATATTATTTTGAAATTACCGTTTCCAATCAATGTAGGTGGAACAGAAAGAGTTAAATCTACTCTGATATTTACTCTGGACCATTATTATCAAACGTGCGTTGATTTTCTTTATTATTGTCATTATTATTTCAGTAATTAATATACAGTTTTCGTTGTTGATAATAATTAATAAACTTGTACATTTTCTTTATTTTTATTTCTTCAATAATTAATAAACGTTTCCCAAAAGCTTACAATGTCTTAGTGCTCTCTATAACTTGTCTCAAGGCTCCCTTGCCTAGGGAGCCTTAAGACAATTTACATTATTTGGTTGAAATACATTTAAACAATTTGATTAATATTTTGGAAGCATGAAAGGGTATGGCAAGTTTAGCTAAATCGCACACAATTCTCTTGCCCTAAATGTAATCTTTAAATTACAAATTGTATACTCGTAATGTTTAAGGAATGAAATTCATTTTTTGACTCAAGCCTCCCTAGTCTCCCCTACACTTGGTATCTAAAACCAACCACCATTTTCCAAAAATTAGAGGTAAGAAAACAATTGAAAGTCACGGTCGTCATAAAACTTAGGAGGCTGTGTCTTAGATGTGTCATTGACCATGAAATGCACTATCTTGATCCAGATGACCAAAGTTCAAATCTTTTTATAACCGAAGAATCTTTTACGTCTATTTCTAAAACTTTAATTCAAGGTAACTTGATTTTTTCTAAAGAAACTGCCTACTTTTCTCATCATCGAATGTCAATTGATCACCTTTCTTAACAATATCGAATTGTTTTCATCTATATCTGACCGTTTTATTGTATTAATTTCAGATTAGATTTAGGTTAATTTGGTTGATTTTTCAGTTTTCAGTACTAGTAGGTTGTGGAAAATTACTAAACGTTCAAAGTATGAAATATGATTTATTTTTCTAAAACGCGTAGATGAACTGTAGTTACCAACAAACAACAACATAAATTGTGCAATAATTATAATTTGTTTGTTGGATGCAGGTTTGAAATCTACGTCGAAAAGAATCTTTAACTCTACCCAAGATAAGATCTTGCCTTTGTTTTGATTAAAATTGCTATTAAGCTTATTTTTTTCTACGGCGAGACCGGTGTGGAGGTACCCCATCCTGTTGAAAATACGAGTACATGGTTCTAATTTAGGAGAGAGGCAAACTCTCAATAGTTTGGATAGCTGGGTATTTAGAAAATCTATATATCTGTAAGGTCTTTATCAAAGAAGAATTGTCCAACAATACTGTACCCAAATATTCATGCTCACACACTAATTTATCATTCATCTTGACTTAGATCTTAGAGAAATACGTATATGATAAATCAATTGACTGAGGTTCTTGAAACACCTTCAAACTTTTTCAGCGACTTTCACAATGGTTTCAGGAAAATCGGAACACCGCGATGGGAATATTCAACCTAGTGTCTGAAATATTAAAAGGTTTCCACAATTACAGTACAGTCCTGGCCAAAGCGCATGACTCTATTGACCATTATTTTACTTGGGAAATTCGAAGCATACAGTATCAGTGAGGCCCGCATCCATTTCCTGAAATCGTTCCTCCAAGACAGATCACAAATGCTGGAGTATCATCAGCAAAAAGTATGGCGCCTTCATGTGTCAGTTTTAGGCCTCATTCTCTTTCTGATATAAATAAATGGCCTTTCACTTATAGACGCAAATTATAGATACTCGCTTTTTGCGGATGA